ACAAACCTGAGGTTGTGTGGGCTTTTCTCTTGTCAGTTTTGAGAGTCACTGTCTCCTTGGGCATATCAACATGTCCTTATTTTTGAAACATGGGCACTTGACTCCCAGTGTGATTAGCTTTCATATGAATCATTATAGAATTGAAGTGGGAGTTTCATTTTCCCCTAACTTATTTGATAACTTACTACTTACTTCAGAATTGAAAAACATTGTCCAGCCTTCAGAACTAGAGTGACATCGGTTAGGATGGATATTTAAGAGGAAAATTTTAGAATGCAGTCAACAGCAGAGGCTTGAATATGTGACATTAAAGAGCTATGTTGCTTTGCCTTTTGAGATGTGGTTCATTTTTTTAGTAAAAACAAAGATTCAGAGGTTATTTGAAGGTCATTCTGGAGATTATGCTATATGAATGATAGAGAATAAGAGTAAATTTTGAGTATGATTTGCCTACTTGGACTTAATTCTGGTAACTGATTTTATTGTGTGTGGGGAAATCTGTCACATCTGTAATCTTTACTTGCCTTTATTTACTGAACCACTAAGCTGTACATGGATGCCAGGCACAGTGGACAATCAGATTTGACCCAAACTTTCTGTCCTTGACCCATATGAAGGTCAGAGGAGCAATGCTGACTTTTCGGATTAATCTGTAGTGCTAATAGGGACATTATTTCTTCCAAGTCAAGTGTATCATCTATTTATGATGTTTTAGAAGATCACTATTAAGTGCAAACAGAGGATTGATCCTTCTTTTTGAGAGTAAGTAAATGACCTGTTATTCATAGTCTAATGCAGTTTATAAAAGGTGGTTGTTACTAGTCTCTAAGAGTCACATTATAATGAAACAAGTTGTTAGGAAGCAGAAGTTTACATGAAAGTTGGGAGTCATTTTTATCCAGTTCTAAAACAGGTATGTCCATTCTAATGTAGTTACTTATATGTAGAAAATAAAGTTATTTTAATACTCTCAGTAGTATTTGGAATTGTATTTCTGAAATAAATTTGATGAGTTTTAATTCACTACTGGGATCTAACTCATAACACTTCTATTCAAAGTATATATCTGAAGAAAATTTTTGCTGGCTTGATAATAAACAGATGAAAGTCCAGATTCCACAGCCTAGGTCTGAAGGACAGTCAGTTAGGAATTATATTTGGCTGGAAGTAATAGTAGATGGAAAGAATTTAGGGTTAATAGTATGACTTCTTGCTCTGCTCTTTTTTTCATTCTTGAGATCATCTCATGGTCATAAAAGGCCTGTGTAGTTCAGCCGTTACTTCCACAATCCAGGCAAAAAGGCAGAGAGGGGTATAATCATCATCCCCCTCCTTTAAGTAGCATTCCAAAAACCCCATCCAGTAACTTCTGCTTACATTCCAGTTCACCAGAATTTAGTCATTTGGCTACCTGTGTCTGCCAAGGAGGAAGGGAAATGTAGTTTTCCATTGCTAACTCATCACCCACTCCAAATAATAATAGTAACACAAAACAACTCACCAAAACCAAACCAACAAAAGCAAACATTATCCTATATTGAGGCAGAGAAGAAAGAGAGATGTTGGTGAGAATCCAAAGAATCCAGCTGGCCTTTTATGATCTATTTTAGCCTTTCCTTTGATCTCATCTGCTGTTTTAAGCACTTTACACCATAGACTCATGAGAACACTTTGCACTCACAGAGTAGACCTCGACTATCCCCCCCACACACACACACTTTGCTCATATTCTGAAAACTTTTTGTTTCCTGTCCCAACAGCCTCTTACCTCTAACACATAGCGCAGATCACAGTGCACATCTGAGGCCTCTCCAGGGTCTGAGTTATAGTCATCACATGCTCCATTGTTCTTTCATCTCTCTGTAGTAGCACTTGTCATAGCTTCAACAAAATTAGTTACACAGTTAATTTTTCATATTCTCTGTGATTCTCTCATCTCCCCACTGGTGTGCAGTATCATACATTTTATGTAACCAATGTTCTATGTGTATTTACTGAATCCCATCCCAAACCTAAAGCCAACAAGATAATAGGAAAAAATACTCTTGTGCAAAAATTTTCAAAGGATTGGATTATATCAGCTTTATGAGCATACTGTTACTTTTAATAGCTGTTGGCTAACCTAATAACTACTAACCTAAGAGCTGTTGGCTAACCTAATGGTTACTTTGTTTATAGTCTGTCAGTTCAGCAGTTTGCTCTAAAATACAAACTCCTTAAACATGGAAGAAACATTAACAGGCTTGACCTCATATAATGCGTGCATTTGATGTACCTAAGACTAGGGCATTCTGCTTAGAAAAAGGGAGAAGGAACAAAAAAGATCTTTTGTTCTTATAGAGCACCTGAAACCACTATAAATAGAAGATCATCAAGTTGGTCAGGGGTCAAAACTAATACAGCCTGGGGCCTCAGGTTCAGCATTTCATAACATGCCCTCTTCTAAATTAACTTCTTCCTATTTTTAAGTGACATTTTCTAAACTACTTTTTTATGTTCTTAGAAATATTTTCAAATTCCAGTTATTCTAAGGGGTTACTACTTTGATTTGCATCTAATGATTTCAGGTGTTTCTTTTATTTAAAAAAAAATATGGCATTCTGTGTGCTCTCAGTGATATTCAGTTATTGGGTTGTATTCGTATACAAGCATTAAAATATATGGAATATTCTTTTCTTTAAATATTATATTTTTTTTCCAGACTTGCATTTACATACAGAATGGCTTGTTCCTAGGACTTGTTTTAAAAGATGTGCATAGTAAAAACCACCTATCGTGTATAATTCACTGAGAGTTATATCGGAAGTTTCTCTCAGATGGTTTCTTCTCACAGATCTAAATAAAATTGTCTCCAGGGCTGGGGTTGTAGCTCAGTGGTATGCATGAGAGGCACTGGGTTCTATCCTCAGCACCACATAAAAATAAATAAAATAAAATAAAGATATTGTGTCCATCTATAGCTTAAAAATATTTTTTAAAAATGTCTCCATTTGAATTTAAGGCAGTAAACTAAAATCAGATTTAAAGAGTTTTTTCAGTCTATTTCTCTACCACTTACACTCTGCTCATCCTCTTTCTGCCAGATTTTTTAATTAAATACCTCCTGAGCAGCACTGTCTAAGGATTGGTAACGGTACAGGGTCAAATTAGAGAAACAAATAATAGGAAAGGCCTGAGAATAAAATTAGCTGATGCACCCTGTGGGATGCCAAGTGAGGGAAGGGTGAGTGAGAGGTGAGTAAGGAGATGTAGAAAACAACCAAAACAGTATGCACATCAGTTTTGCAGAAGTTTTAAAGGAAATGGTGCTTGGGAATTGTCAGAAAGGAAACTGGGAGCCCATCCCAGAATGGAGAATAGCAGGAACCAATATGGGAAGGAAAAGATGTCAAGGGGCTTAAAAACTCAGGGCCCTCGTTGACTCCATTTCCCCAGGTCTTCAAGGTCCATCTGCTCCTCATGCAGTGGCTGCTGAAGATGAGTCTTTTCCTGTCACTGACACAACCTGTGCCTTCCTCGCGGCAGAGCTGAGTGATTGGTCATGTGCCTTCTCTGCCATCACACCTATCCATCCCGGTCTACGTGCTGATAGTGCTAGTATCCCAGGAGCTTTCATTTCTACCCACTAATTGTCCCAATGATGACAAACACTCAGAAAGTTTTCATTTCCTCAAATAGTATATATTCCTCAGTCTGAAATTTAAGGAAAACCATCATCTGACACCACTCCTTATGATTGCTTCTCACGCTTCCACCAGCATTTACCCATCTTGTTATCTTCACAAGCCCCTGAGTGACCTCTAACTAACCTGTGGTCTACTTTGCTATGTAATTCTCTTCTCCCTTTTATGTCTCTGCGCTGTAAGAACCAACACAAGTCTTTTCTATGTGATTATTTCTTTACATATTTTATATGTGCTACCCATTTTGCTCATAAATTATATGTTGAATTAAAAACATGTAATTGTTTTGTCCCTTCATCTAGATTGTAGGCTCCTTGGAACCAGTAACCATGCCATATAATTATTATTTATCTATTGTAGTATCTGGCATAGCATTGCAGGTACATTCTGGTGCAGAGTTTCTTAATACTGGCACCATGACATTTTGGGTTGGAATTTTTTTGCAGGGGTGGGTTGTCTCCATTGTAGGATAGTTAGCAGTATTCCTGTTCTCTACCTACTAGATGCCAATAGCATCCCTTCTCCATTGTAATAGCCCAAAATATCTCCAGACCTTGTCAAATGTTCCTGAGGGGAAAAAGTTCCCTAGTTGAGAATTGCTGGCATACAATAAATTCCTGTGAGATTATGAGAAGACTTCAGTATAGCATTTTGAGGTCTTGAGGGAAGAGGGACACAGTAGATAGAAGAGAGTAAACATTAAACTGAGAACTTTCTATTTCCTATGGTTTAGCCATAAAAGGCCATTATAAATGGAAGGGGAATTGTAATGAACCTTAGGGGTAAGAAGATTAAGATGATGGAAATATCTTTAAATCAAAGAACCAAAATATATTGTTTTAATTTATGTTTTATCTTGGATTGTTTCATACTTAGTATATCATTTCTAATAAAATAAGCATTTTATTATTTAATTGGAAATTTATCTGGATCTCATATATACCCAGTATTTTCAGACTGAGAATTATGTTTAAGTATGTTTGAGAGAATGAGTTTGAAATTGTGGTTGCAAATTATTTTAAAGTTATAGCTGTTGACAAACATCAGTATATGATTATACAGTTTTACCTTTATAAAACTGAGTATTGTCCTAAAGTTTAGAAAAATTTCCAGCTTCAAGTAATACACACACACACACACACACACACACACACACACACACACAGGTTTTACGGTAAAACAATGATTTTGTCTCTTTCTGCCACTTTGTTGTACGTTCTTAGTTTTTTTCTTTTATTTTCAAACTAGTCCATGACATTAATGCTGTATAGTTGGTGTATTGCTGAACTAGCAATAATGCATGACCTCTTTTTACAGCTGTGTGCCAGCCACAGTGCAAACATGGTGAGTGTATTGGGCCTAACAAGTGCAAGTGCCACCCTGGATATGCTGGAAAAACCTGCAATCAAGGTAGGAAAATAGACCAAAGCCATATGCCATCTCTATTCCTGACAAATTAAAAATTTTAAATTCTCATCCCAAACTAGTTTCCATAGCAATTTTTCCCCAAATGTGTGAGCTGCCATTTTGCTGGCAGATTTTTTAAAAAGTTAAGAAAAAGTAAATCTAATAAACTTGATTTTCTCAAAATACAATTAAATAAATTATATCCCCTTATTTTTATTCTCTCATATTTATTAAAATATTTTTTTGAAGAACATCACTGCATCAGTAGTGTGGTTAGATGCCTTACCTTCTGGTGCTTCTACTAACTAGTTAGGAAGATCATTAGCCTCCTCAGATCCCAGTTACTGCTTCTCTTTAATACCAGAAACCAGGTAGGGCACTGGACTTAAAATTTGGAAGCTCCTTCCAACTGTGAACCCTCTGATTCTGTGTTTTAAGTCTCCCTTAAATTGTTGGCTCATTTTAAATGCTCCTTTGAGAAATAAAATGTGGATTAGTTTGCAAGTGACTTAAAAATCGGCATCATTTGCTTATAAAAATAAACATTTATTTATCTACAGTGTCTCAAATACTTTATATTAATTATCTATTTCCATTCTTATAAGTACATTAAGAAGTGGAATGCTACTTATTATAATTAAGTTATAAATAATAACATATATTTTTATTCCACTTTTCATTTGAAGTTCAGAGATATTGTCTTTCCCTAGTTCACAAAATTAGTTGGTTAAAAATAAAAGATAGTATATCAAGCTAGAGCTATTGTTTTATATAACTCATATCCTTCCTACTATATTAGTTTTGGATGAAGAAAATATAACTGGAAGTGTTATCCTCTGACTCTGCCTAATAAGGCTTGGACAAGGCTTGTCTTCCTAATTAATTTTAGCAAAAATTTCTAACTATTAGGAATTTAAAATCTAGAAATAAAGAAATGTTCACCTTAGATTTCACTAAAAAGATAAACAAGTCAATTTTTCTTATTTCTTAGTGTAATACTCTATTATCTTAAATGTCAAATAAAATAATGATGGGGGTGGGAGTGGTGGGGTCAGGTGTAACTATCCCATGGGTATTTATTTGACTTTATCTTATACAGAAATGATATTATTCAATATCTGATACTTGTTCCAGGATACTCCTTGCAGTGTCATGTCAATCATGATTTATAGACATAGTTTCTACAACCATGTAGAACAATGATATTTTAAAATATATGCAATTATTCATCAGATGAAATGTGTCACGTCCCAAACATACTTGGCTCTTTTTGAAATAACTGGTGTTTTTATTATCTCAGTTACTCTAAAAGTGAGTTTGATTTAAAAAGTTTGTTTGATTTTCCTTCCCTAGCCTAAGTTCACAAGTTAGCAGCATGTTAGGTTCTGGTTTTTGAGTTATCAGTATTCATCTTGGAATGCCAGTCTATTTCTTTTTTTAAAATGGTAAACATAAACTCTCAGAGGTTTTATTAATATGTCAACACTATAAAACTTTATTGTCCCCATATCAGGAAGACTATTAAAAGAAGCCACTTTTGAGATTGCAGAGAAGTTTATTTAAATTTATTTGCAGGAGCTATAGGAACTTTAATTATTCAAAGACACTAAATCTATTATTGGACAAGGCTCCATCACTGGACATCTCTTATCTTCAATAAACCAATTTACCGTGTGCTTTTTTCCTATAGCACACTTATTTTCCCTCAAGAAAATTGGAAATACACCAAGTTAAAATCTTGCCTCCCCAAACCATATTCCTTAGGGAGAAGAGGATTTTATTAGTACCAAAATGGGATTTACACCTGCAAAAATAGCACTGACACTTAAAATGTCACTTCAGGTCTAATCTTGAAAACAAAACCCCAGCTTGGAGTAAACTCATATGTTCATATGTTCTTACTTTGTTCTCCTTACAAAAAAAAAAAAAAAAAAGAAGTTGTAGCACATTCCTGATGCAAAAGGTTTATGCTACTTGAGAGAGGAAACCCTTTGTGGTGTCTCTGATTTCTGGATTCCATAAAACTATTATTAAGGTGACTTGCACATGCAAAGATTACATTAAATTTGTTAAATGAAAGATTGATTCATATAAGGGTTCTCAGTCCTAAATACCACAGGAACTTCAAAGGGTTCCGTAGAGTTTGTGATACAAAAACTTAGATAGTCTCTGAGTCGGTGGACTGAGAGCCCTGCCAGGTTGAGAGAGGCTACTGTGAACAACCTGGTAAGTGTGAGAGCTGCCTAGAGACCCCATGGAACCTGAAGAGCAAACTGGCTGTACCTGCTGTATGAGAAATTAACTTAGACTGTTTTTATCTAGGATCACACATTTTAATAAAGTAAAAAATATGCCTCAGAGATATAGGAAATCAAACATTTCTTTTTTCTCAAGAGGAGAAATGTCAAAAAGAAATAAATTTGAAATAGTTCCATAGAACTAGAAATTTAGTTATTGATTAAAAGTAGGCTTTGATACAAGGCACGTATTTGCTAAGAATTTTGCTCTGAGTAATATATTTTAATAAATAACCCCTTGGAAACTTGTTTGACAGAGTAAACAGCTTATATAAATGACAAGTGCTTAACCAGTGCTTTTAGAGCTGCCTGGGGAACAACTAGAATTGCAGGGCAAGTTGCTCTGCGGAACTGGCTTAATTTTATAACCTTGTCACAGGCTTAGACTATTGTTGGTGGCTTGCTCTTCCTTCCAAGTTATTTTCTCCATTTGCTGTACCAAGATCAGATATAAAATCATAGTTTTGGACTGATCATTAGCATACTTGATAAGGCACATGATACCTTTCATAGTAGATGAAATTCGAACCCAAATTCTAATAAGATTTTCTTTGATCATTTGCTTCCTGACCCTTACATTTTCTAATAATTTTATTCATGATTATTTTCCTTTCCTTGAGTATTAGTACCCCTACAAATCCCCTTGCCCCCAGCTAAGAAATAATAATAATATATAATAATATTTTTATATCTTTCCCATTGGGGAATTATTGTTAGCATGTACATATAGCATTCATATTTTTAGAAATAAAAGATGTTCTTTTGAATTTATAGTGTGCTTGATAATGATTTCAGAACAATTTATAAATATCAATTACTAATGTTTTGGCATGGGTTTTGTTTCAGATGTTGAATTCCACATCCCAAGAAAGATCAATATTTCATAGTATATAATTAAATATTAATAAATATTAAATACTGGTTTACAAGTTATATCTCTATTTTTTCACTTAGCACAACAATCTAAGTACTGTAACCCTAGTATTACAGTGGTTACCTCAATCCTCACTTTTGGAAAGGTGTGTGGTTTCAACCCCAGAAACCAAGGTTCATTTGATTTGGAAGTTTAAATGGCTGTTAAAATAGAATGTGTTTTTCTTTTTGATTCTCTATCAGAGTCTCTTCTGTCTTATGTCTTGGTAAGCTAATAATGGCAACAGTTAACATTTTTTACATAAAGCTTCTAATGTGTGTTCTAACTAAATGTGACCTACATGTGACATAAGTTTTTACTTTTGAATGAAAATAGTGGTGATCAAGCTATTATTTAAATAGGATCATTATGCAAAACATAAATTCATGCATAATTTTAGGATATTTAAGCCATTACTAAACAACATCACAATATAGGAAAAAATAAATCTTAAGTTGGCCATTTAAGACTTTAATGTCCCTTAACTAGAGCCAGTGAATTGTAATCAATATAATTTGTGTTGTTTCTCCCTTCTGTTGATGACTAACATGGTGGTTTTAAAAATGATCACTTTTTTGCTGTTGTTTTTTTTAATGGTAAGAGAATGATGGGTTATTAATTTATAATGTGTTTATTATTCTTGATGATGGTCATCAAGTTTTAGGAAAATTAAAATTAAAGGGGAAGGAGAACTAGGAACTATTTGTTTCTGGTAAAGTATCTAAAGAGTTCTTTTTAAGTTCCACCAACTTTATGTACTTATTTAATATATACTTGTAAAGATTTTAGGGTTTAAAAATGACATCAGTTCAAAGTTGACTCTTATTACCTTCTTCCTGGTGTGAAGATGAGCACTTCTACCCAACTCCTCTTGACCAAGGCAGTGAACAACCTCTTTTTCAACCCCTGGATCATCAAGCCACAAGTTTACCTGCAAGGGGTGAGCGTGCATTGTCTCAGGTGGTCTGCTCCTCCCACCTGCACAGCTTCCTGCAGTTATGTCACTTCTTGCAAAAGTTCTGAAGACTAGCACAGAAGTGCCCAGCCTTCAGCCTGAGCATGTGAAGCAAACAGCAGGAACTATCACCTGGTGCCGATTCTCTGTGCCCTGAAAAGCATGGAGTCTTCACTGTCCTTTTACTATATCATTGCTTTTCCTCTTCTCTGGGTTTTGAAATGTTTTCCCAAAATCAGAGAGCAAGATAAGTTTTGTTTTCATATGTAGGCAAAGTCAGGAATTCCAGAGTAACCGAGATTGGGGTTTTGATGTCTTTGCCAGGTAGATTTTAGAAGTGATTAAGTCCTCTTCCCCACCACCATCTATTTGATGTGTAGAATTTAAGGTTACCTAGAAATCAAGCCATATATTTGCTTCTTTCTTTCAGTGCACATTTTGTAATATCAGAAAGCCTAAGTTCTGGTTCCCATAAGCTCTTTCATTGTGAGTAAGACATTTAATGTGTCTGGGTCTTAGCAAACCAATCAGTAATGGGGAAGACAGTAATTCCTGTCTTATTTGCCTACAGGGTTGTTATGAGAATAGGAACACCAAAAATATTAATGTCTACATTGTGCAAGAAAGTTTTATAGAAAAATAAGGTAGTAGAATAATTTTACAGTTCTTCTGCAAGATTTTATTCTGTACCCACTCATAGATTTAGGAACTTAGAATAACTGAATTAACATAGTTTACAATAATTATTGTCTCTATTAATAGGGAACTTGATACATTTTCATATCTTCTGCACAAAGAAAGACAATGTGATCAGTTTCAGAGTTATTTATAATTTAAAGAACTAATGATATGGCAGGTGATATATTAACATCTGTTTTCCAGTGACCTCCACTTTAGTCCAAGTTTAAAAGCTCAAATTTCTGAAACATCACCCATTGTAAGCATCAAAGGTGAGGAGAGTCCAAATGCATTAAAATGAATGAAAGGTTTTTGTCTTTTAAAACTCCATTGGGAGCCCGGCCCACACACACCTATAATCTCAACGGCTTAGGAGGCTGAGGCAGAAGCATCATGAGATCAAAGGCAGCCCCAGCAAAAGTGAGGCACTAAGCAACTCAGTGAGACTCTTGTCTCTAAATCAAATATAAAATAGGGCTAGGGATGTGGCTCAGTGGTCAAGTGCCCCTGAGTTCAATCCCCGGTACCAAACAACAAGAACAACAACAACAACAAAAACACAAAAACTCCATTGGGTTATCTTATTCAGTGAAATCACTTCCCATTTTTTTCAAACTATTTTTTCAATGTCTGCATGCTAATAAAATTTCTGATTCTTTTTTTTCCTGAAGTGTAATAATAATGCTATGCAGCTTGCATTTCTGTTCTGGACCAGTCACCTTCTCTCTCCCCTTTTCTCCCACCCAAGCTCCTGAATCTACCAACCTGCTTAAATGTACTCCTGATGGTAATGCTCTTTGAGAATATTTAAAATATTTAAACATAAGTGGTTTAATTGTAAAATTCTATCTTTTAGCATAAGATAGGTTCTTTATAGAATTAATTACATTATATATTTTAATTAATTATGTTATATATTTTCCCTGATAATTTATATTATAAACTTCAATAGAAAGAGCAAGATTAAAGTAAATTTAAAATGAAAACAATGAAGTTTTATTTCTTAGGTTCTCATCAATTTTTTATAACTTTATTTATTTATTTTTATGTTGTGATGAAGATCAAACTCAGGGCCATACATATGCTAGGCAAGCACTGTACCACTGAGCCACAACCCCAACCCTCTCTTATCAACTTTCAAGATTTATCTGGGATGGTGTGGATCAAGGAGAATTATCATGGTTCTACTTATTATTAAGGACATTTTCCCTTATATAGAAATGTCATTTTGTAGTTTCTCACTTAGTATGACAACAATACAAACCTTACTTGGTCTATAATCCAATATATCGTGATAATGAATATTTATTAGAAGTAGCACATATTAACTCAATGTTATGGTTTTAGGTCATTAAGAAAATAAGGTAACATAATCATAGAATAGAAACCCTCAAGTAATTGAGGAAAAAGAGGTTCCTCACCAGGACCCCAAATGCATTTAATCTTTTGAAGCTCCCTACTTCAGCAAAATGTGATATTTGACAGTATTGATTAACACAGTTTACTGTGGAATCCTGTTTTATAATGCTTGCAGAAGTACTGGTAAGGGTCATTGTGAAGTTTTTAGGAGACACCTGACTGCGGCAGATGGTGCAATGATGACAGGCATTGGGGATATTTACACCAGCCATCTGTCAGGGAACATCATCTCATCCCCCAACAGCTGTTAAGAATAGAATTTTCTCAAATTGCTTTCCATGTATTTTGATACTTACGTGCCAATTTACTAACAGGTAAAATAGCCAATGAATGTTTCTGCATTTACCCATGGAATATTGCATGTTTTCTTCCTTTTCCAAAATATTTCATAAAATGATTCCCAGATTTTTAAAAATTATGACAGTTTATTGGTTTTTATTTCTTTTTAGTTTCATTATTCCTAACCTCAAAATGCTTTTCTCATAGGAAAGGTAAGATAAATTTAGATTAAAGCCAGACCACCAGTAGCCCCAGTCTGGACTATGAAGATTTCCACAGCAATCCAAAGGGGCCCACTACTGGCCAACACCAGAGCCATGTTGTGGAACAGCTGCCCCAACTGGGCTTCAGTGTTAGTCCAAGGGTCCAGTGTCTGAAGAGGTTCCATTAGCATAAATCCTCCTGGTTTATGCTGGAGTTATAAACACCTGACCAATCTCCATGAGGAGCCCCCAGAAGTATCTACGGCTTTCTAAAAATAAAGCTAGGGATTCTTAAATGACACATTTTTGTCCATTAATATCCTTCTCTTGAGACACATTATTCAGTTATACTTTATTGTTTTATTGTACTGTTTTGTTATGTTTTTGTTTAGCTCAGAAAAATATTTAAAACACAAAGCTTTTCTCTTATAATGTATTACAAGTTAAATACTACTTCCTATAAACTTAGTCAGGGAATTATCAAAGCCAGGTGTGACTTGGTAGGACATATTAGGAATGTACTTGACTCCTTTTAAAAATGAGGAAAGTTTCCCTGACTCAATTTTTGAATAAATAGTGAAATACAAAGTAGAATATAGGAAAGGGAGAGAATTTCTCAGTCGTTCCTCCCTGATTATTATTTCATTTAACAAAGAGAATAATCAACTTTTTTGACACTGGAATCTGCAAAGTATCTTCTATGAGGAATATTTTTTTAATATTTAAAATGTGATTCTGTTTTGAAAACCTTTGACTGGGCAAAAGACAATGAAGTAGGAAATTGAAGAAAGCACAGGAAAGAACAAAAGTATTTGATTTATTTATTTAACCTTTCCAGTCTTTGCCCAGCTGGGGACTTGCTTACATTTTTGTTAAGGGTAGAAAAAAGACTAAGTTGGAAAGTCAATAAGACATGAAAATACTCTTAGATATAATAATTCTTTGGTGGTTTAAAATATAATGTTACTTGGTGGTTACTTAAGTGGAATATACAGATTTCTAATAGAGGGGCCAGTCAGATTTAACTTTCATTAGATTTGAAAACAACTCTGCAACTAGTTATGCTATCCATATTTCTTATTCAGTGACATGGGTTAATAGATAATTAAATTATGCTAATGAGGTACTTAGCTGGTTATTCCAGACAAAATAAACATGTGGTCACATTTCTTTTTAATGAAGTCTATATTATGGGCATTACTATTTCAATGTTTATATTTCATTATGAGTTTTATGTTCACTTGAGGCAGTGTTCAACTTGAGTTGGAAAATTTTCATAATGTGGAATTCATTAATTCATTTCATATAGATATTTAAGCCAATAAACATAAAATACATAATGATAGTCCATTATGTTTTATCCATTAGTATTTCCATATGCCCTTCTTAATGGCCAAATGAATGAAAATATGTTGGAGGTATTTTTAAAAGTTTATTTTGTGACTTGAATGCATTACTAAAGTAGGAAACTCAATTTTCTTCTTAAATCTAAGATCAGTACATAATCTACAAAATTGAATGGGAGAAACTACAATAATGGTCACTCTAATTCATATAGTTCTTATTCTCTGAAAATATAGCTAACCTGTGGAAAGGTCAAAGAAGTTTAATGTTTTAAAATTCATGTACTTTTCTGTAAAGTAAAATGCTCATGTAGTGCCTTCTTTAAAACAGAGAAAAGAAGACATTGAAAGAGTAGGGTCACATCATGGCATGTGACTCTAGTAGGAACACAGGTATTTTGAACAGATTGGCAGTCAGTATAGGTGATAGAGCCCCACAAGAGGAGATGAGTCACTAGAGCCCCCCAGGAGGAGGTGAGTTGATAGAGTTTGTCCCAGCAGAAGGTGAGTATTCTGCACTTTCTGGGGATGATAAGCAGACACAGGTTGGGGGAGATTCCTCATAACTGTCCTTTATGAACAGAGATCTACATCAGTCATGGCGACTCCTGGTCACACCAGGGTAATGTTCAAATGAAGACTGCATGAATAGGCTTTATCTCTTACATAAAGGAAGATGGCCATATTTTGAGTCACTTTTCTGTTTCATCCTTCAATACTGAAATGCATTTTAAATGTTTTACACTAGTTCTGAGGTTTTGTGATTTTTCTGCTTGAACTCACATTCTTTGCAGATCTAAACGAGTGTGGCCTGAAGCCTCGGCCCTGTAAGCACAGGTGCATGAACACTTTCGGCAGCTACAAGTGCTACTGTCTCAATGGATATATGCTTATGCCGGATGGGTCCTGCTCAAGTATGTCAAGAATCTTAACTGTTTTATAAGCTCTTTGGGCTTGATATCTGACATGCTCTGATAGCATGCCTTTGCAAATGTGGCCCTCTAGGGCCCTCCTGAACAGGACATGTGCATGTGTTGATATGTCTGTCTGAGGAATGAAAATCAAAATAAGAGGTGCCCATTTTATTTTATTGGTACTAGAGATTGAACCCAGGGACACTTAACCACTGAGCCACATCCCCACCCTTTTATTTTGAGATAAGATCTTGTTTTACCCATTTTAGATGTATAATGTTGTTTACTATGGGTGCCAATATTAAGTTGATTTGAAAATGGTATTTAGAGCAAAAATCACAAAACTGAAGATGTTTCCTAATGTTTTTTCTAATATGTTGAACTCTAACTTTTACCTGGGTCTAGGATAACTATTCCAGGTTAAAAACAAAACAAAACATTAGTGATTATTTGGGTACCACTCAGAGATAATCCATCAGGTCTGTTGAGAGACTATAAATCATTCATATATACCTTCTCACTTCATTTTTATATTTCTTTATAATAGTATGAGATTTTTAGACTTTTATAATAGTTTATCACTTCTGAAATAAAAATTCTTTCAAATTAAAAATAAATACAACATCAGAAAAGTAGATTTCATGAGGATCATTGTAAGAAAAGAAAATGTATGGCATTTCTTACTGTTATCAGATGTGTTTATAAAAGGGACAATACCCTAAAATTCTCTAAAAGGTGAACATCTAATTGAACTTACATTTATATGATATTCCACAATTAGTGACTTAGTTTTTATTTTGCCAAATTAACATCTAACTACATTGCATTTTATAAAGTAAAAAAATGCTAATTTTATTTTTGCATTGTATAGACATAGCAATGGAACTTTCTGGAATGAGGTGAATACATGTTTAATAACATATGGCAGTGATGCTAAAATCATCTAACTTTGTGCAACTCTGGGAAATCTGCTGTCCTCTAGAGAAATTTGCTAGGCAGCTAAGACAATTGCTTGAAAATTTTGATTAAGAACAGTGTTGCTATTTTTTTCAGTTGGCCACTGGAAAAAAATCCAGATAATCTATGTGAGATAAAGTTTTACATTTATCATGTAATTATTTAAAAACATTAAAAATCTCCAGACGATGAAAGCTGGTCTATTTCCTAACTATCCTTCAGAAGGGTTTTCCGCCCACCCCATCCCTTCCCTTTCTTCACAATGTTTTTTTAACTTTCTTTACTTTCTTTAAAGTGTTGGTTAATTGAGGCCTCTATGTCTGCATTGTTGATTGATTATTGTCAATGATGTTAGGAAAATGGAAGAATATAGTTTTTTGAATCATAGCTTTTTCTTTCTACTTCTCTGAGTTAGCCAGTCACTCTCTTTACAGGTGCCCTAACATGCTCCATGGCAAACTGTCAGTATGGCTGCGATGTTGTTAAAGGGCAAGTCCGGTGCCAGTGCCCCTCCCCAGGTCTGCAGCTGGCTCCTGACGGGAGAACCTGTGTGGGTAAGTTGTAACATCAAGCATATTTATCAACAGCTTCTATAGGATAGAGAAAGGAAGTGGAAGGTAATAGAATTAGGAAAGCAGGCAGTTACTTATATCAGGTAATTAGCTATAGACCAGAAGGTATCAGATGTCTCAGAAGAGGACCCCACTCTGAATGCACCTGGAAGCCTTGTTTCCCCAATAGGGAGGGACCAAAGGAAGATTTGGGCAGTGGGATTCATGTGTACAAAAACACTGAGGTTCAAGGGAGCATAATGTTCAGGAAAACAAGTAGAACTCTGTATTTTTAGAATATGAGAGGCAAGGAGGAGCCATGAAGTGATAAAGCGGACAAGGTAGAAGGGGCTGGATTATATGTGTTGCAACATGGGGGTTAGATATTTTCCTGGAAAATTAAGATGGCAATGTATAATTGTGGATTAATCTGGGCTTTGGTTCCCAGCCTGGCTCTGCCACATACTAGGTATGTAACCTCGGTTAGGCAAGATACTTTTGTTCTTTGAGCCTAGGTCGTCTTATCTTTAAAATGAGAATAATGCTACGTAGAACCAATGTGAGGATTGAACAAGATCATGTATACAAAGAGTTTATCGAGGACCTGGCATGTGGTGAAGACACTATGCTAAGTGCTGGATATACAGTAATGGGTAGATATACAGTAATGGGTAGAGCAGACAAGATTTTGAGCCACATGAGATGGACATTCTAGTAGGAAAGTCAGAGAAAAAACCCATGATAAAATTATAGACCAAGCTAAGTGTTAACATGAAATACTAAGAAAGAAAAAAAACAGAAAGGGTCTGTATTAGAAATGGTAAGGAAAATTCCCACAGTAAGACATGGGCCATTAGCCATGTGAAGAATGTGCCAAGAGGTGAAAATTTTGCTGGGTACTGCAGTGAGAGGTTGGCCTGTGAGGTTTTTAAAGGAGTCTTTGTGGCTAAGTGCAGAGTGTGAGCGTGCAGGGTGTGGCTTAGGATACAGCCAGTGAGGTAGGTGAGGGCTATTGATTGCAGAGCCTTCAAGGTTATAAGATGAAATGTGGATTTAATTCAAAAAGCAAGTAAACAATGATGTGATCTTATGTTTTACTGAAGTCATTTTTGACTGTGCAGTAGGCAATGCTTTGGAGAAGGGAAAGATAAGCAGTGAAAACACCAAATTGGAGACTTTCCTAACTGTCTAACACAGAAGATGGTAGCTTGGGATAGGGTAGTGGTGGTGGTAAACAGGTTCCAATAAAGTTTTCAGAGGTAGAATTATCTGGACATTATGATTTGGGACTTAAGGGAAAGAGGATTGTCAAGGATGATTCATGTTTCTACTTTAAGCAACTGGGTAGTCACAGTGCAGTATGTGTATAGGGTATGAGAAAAGAACAGCTTGATTTAGGAGGATGAGCTAAAATTTGGAGATGTTGAATTTATGTTGCCTGTGGTGGCAGCCAGCTGGATACCACTTATGGTGAGCTGTTGTGTGCCAGGTAACAGTTTGCAGTCAGTCATTTATTTTAAAGCCCGCTCCATCTGAACATGCCTAAAATGCAATTAACTTATGTTTCTAGATGTCGATGAATGTGCTACTGGAAGAGTCTCCTGCCCTAGATTTAGACAGTGTGTCAATACTTTTGGGAGTTACATCTGCAAGTGTCATAAAGGCTTCGACCTCATGTACATTGGAGGCAAATACCAATGTCACGGTAATGAAACTCAACCATCACATTGCGTTGTTTCTTTCTATAGTAATGTAGGGGATTTTAATTGTGGTGATGGTTAAATATCAGGGACAGGGAAAGGTATTGGCATTAAATTAAGCAAACCAACTAACATCCAGTTCAACCACTAGTAGTTCCAATATATGTACTTTATTTCTTCTGTTTATTTGCTTGTTTTACATGGTCCACATTGCAAAAAAGAAAAAAAATTTTGAAGTTGCATATATTTTGCATATTATCATATTTGTCTGCTAGATAAACTGCTTCTTCTCCTACCTCCTGATGCAGATATAGATGAGTGCTCCCTTGGTCAGCATCAGTGCAGTGGCTTTGCTCGATGTTACAACATACATGGGTCCTACAAGTGTAAATGTAAAGATGGATACCATGGTGATGGATTCACTTGTGTCTGTGAGTAACACTTGTCTTCCAGCTCTAAATTCCAGCAGGAAATACATGATCCTACAAAGGCCATTGCTAGGGAAGATAAGGGACATAATTAGTTACCAAAATCATATAATTTAGTAATACTGGTCTGTGCTTTCCACAAACAATAAAATCATATGCTCATGTATTTTTAAAAATTAAAAACCAGTAATATATCCTAACATTTAAAACATCAGAGTTTTTTTTTACTAAAATCTCTAAATAACTTCTATTTACCTAAGAAAAAGAACCTATAGAATTCTTGGGTTTGTTAAAATCAGAAACAAAGCAGGGCATGGTATTGTACTCCTGTGATCCCAGCTACTCACAAAGCTGAGGCAAGGAGGATCAGAAGTTCAAGATTAACCTGGGCCACTTAGCAAGACCCTGTCTCAAAGTGAAAAATAAAAAGGACTCAGCTCAATGACATAGTGCCCCTACATTCAATTCCTAGTACTTAATTAAAAATAAAAATCAGAAATAATTATTTGTCATTAGTATTAAATTGTGAATATATTCCACATTTTTGTCCCTCTGTTTTGCACCTCCAACCTCTACTATAAAAAAAGAATTTCCATATTTATTTCCTCTAAAATCAGAACTATTTTTCTTTTAAAATTTTACAAGCTGTATTTGGAGTCGTGGGTACATTGGAGATAAATATGAAAAATAAATATATAAAACTTTCTCTAAGATGAAAGTTTTACAAACCAAAGGCATAATTTAGCATACATTTCATGTAACATTAGATAATATTTAAAATTTCCTGAGTGAAATATTTACTAAAAACCATGGGGCATAAAATTAAGGGATTAGAGGATTTTTGAGGGGTCATGCAGTCATTCCTAGTCTGGACTTTATCATTCCAGGCAGATTGAATATTGATATTTTTGGTGAAGATTATCAAGGGTAAAGCTTATTCAGATGATCTTTGTAACCTCCGAAAATTTCTTTTTTAGACAGCAGTTGTATAAATTAGTAAGGGAAAGGAAAGTAAATTATAAAACCATATGTAGAACATCTAATCAATTGTTTGTTTTTACATGAATTGAATTTATATAAAGAGTAGGTGAGAAAAGTATCAGTCTTTAGACAATTCTAAACAGTTTTATGATATACATGTAGCACTGGACACCTAACATTAGACTCTCTATATTTCTCATATTGGAAAAAAACTTATGTCTCTGTATATTAAAAAAGTAACCTCTCATTGCCTCTTTATGAATATTTAAAACTTTTTGTGTTCAAATAATGCATATTCATTATAAAAATACCATTGTATTTTTTGCATACATACATACACACACACACACATGTCTGTACATGCATTTGTCATTTGGAAAGTAGTATAACTTACAGTAAGAAATAATCTAAACATGCAAAATGAAACTAATTTGTGTGAGAGTTCCCACTAGGAATTGAACCCAGGGCCTTACACATGTTAGGTAAGCTCTGTGCCACTGAACTGTATATCAGCCCCATGTGTATCTATTTTTTTTTTAATTTTGGTGTTTCACTTGTTAGAAATGGTTATATACTAATTTAAATATCTTGACTCTTTCAGATATCCCCAAAGTCATGATTGAGCCTTCAGGTCCAATTCATGTACCAAAGGGAAATGGTACAATTTTAAAGGGTGATGGAGGAGATAATAATTGGATTCCTGATGTCAGAAGTACTAGGTGGCCTCTGAAGACACCATATATTCCTCCTGTCATTACCAACAGGCCCACTTCTAAGCCAACAACAAGACCTACACCAAAGCCATTACCACAGCCCACTCCTCCACCACCACCCCTGCCAACAGAGTTCAGAACACCTCCACCTCCACCAACCCCAGAAAGGCCACCTACCAGACTGACAACTGCAGAACCAGCTACGAGTACATCTGCAAGAGGAGTTACAGTTGACAACAGGATACAGACAGATCCTCAGAAACCCAGAGGAGATGTATTCAGTAAGTCACATAAATGTTACCACTTTCTTAAAAGACATTCATAAACCATGTCTTAAGAATAAACTAATAAAAAGAACTAACTGTAGAAAGTCTTATATTCCTATTGATAAATATTATCAAGAGCTATGTAAAGAGTCAGTATAATCAGGCAAATAGGAAGGAATGTGTGTAAAACTGGAAAGACTGTCACTAAGTCATATGACTGATTATAGCTCGTACCTAGTATGGGGATTCCCTTATAGTCAGATTTACTTAAAAGCTTTGAGATGGGAACTTATTATATCCCATGCCATTTAACTTTTTTTTTAATAATATTTTTTAGTTGTTGATGGACCTTTATTTATTTATTTAATGTGGTGCTGAGAATCAAACCCAGTGCCTCATGGATGCTAGGCAAGCATACTACCACTGAGCCACAACCCCAGCCCCCACCACCCCGCCGCATGCCATTTAAACTTTTAATCTCACTGTTTGTTCATTCATTCAGTAGACATTTTTTAATGCCCTTTAGAGTGCCAGGACGTATATTAAGCATTGAGTTTGCAAAGATAAATCAGAAAAGGTTACAGTCTGTTAGGAAAGACAGTGGCCAAGGAGGTAACTGTGGTGTTATGTTAGTGATAGAGATTTGTGTAGACATTATGAAGTAGAGAAAAGGGGTACCTAGTCAAATTTTGGATACAGAGCATTCAGGAAAGGTTTTCTGAGTAAGATGGGACCAAAAGAATGAGAAAAGAATGCATTATATTTAATGGAGACAGCACAGCAAAGGCATGAGAGGAGGAAACATCCTGACCTGTAAAACCTGCCAATAAACTGGAGTGTCACATGAGGGAGGCATGGGGAGGAGGGACAGCTACCCCTTGTATTTGCTAAAAAGTGGTGATTGGCTCTGGACTGGAGCCAGATTATACTCAAGACTCCCAGCTTTTAACAGGTGACTAGGTAAAGGGTGGTACCACCTCTGGAAATAGAGGTCACGGGAAGAGAAGTGAGTTTTGAAGAGGAAAGAAAGGTGGTTCTCTTATTGCAAGACCAAAGTCCACATGCTTTTATCTGTTTCTGTATTTATCCATCTGTCTGTCCTGTTTGGCTTTGCTTGTTTTTAACTATCTTTTCATCCACTTCTCCTCCCTCCTCTTCTTTATACATTACCAGTTTCCTTTCTTTTTTTTCCATCCCCCAGGACAGAATCAAACTTTGTGCCTTTTATCAGGTGAATAGAATACTTATTTGGTAGTGGTTTTTAAAGGACAAAATTTAAGGGTTTTTTTTTTTTTTTGAGTTTATATGACTCAATTTTTTTTCCTTTAGGTCATTATTAGATCATTTAAAGACAGATTGAGATTTTCTGATTTTATTGTGATTGTGTGTGTGTGTGTGGGGGGGGTTAATCAGTATAATCTTCAGGAAAATTAGATGGTAGCGTTCAAAATGAACATTTTGTATGAGCATATCTGTTTCTGTTTGATTTACATATTTTTTAAAATTTCTTCTTCCTGTCTGTGCCTTCTCTCTTCTTTACTCTTCTGTTTTTTCTATCTCTTAGTGATTATTTACAATACTCTTCTACCTTAAGGTAAGAGTCATCAATAATTGCAGTTTACTCTAATAAATACAGTCTAACACAGATAACATTTTTCTGAACATTTCTTCTAGTATTTTCACTTATTAAAAAGTCTTTCTTTATCCATTACTCCTCTTCATGACTACACACATGTGAGTTAAAAATAAATAAAAACAACATTGATGTTTGCCATTAGACTTTAGCAGGATAAAGTTGGAGAAATGCAGAGTTCCAGTGATGCCTGAAAGTACTCATTGCAAGAGAATGCAATCGTAAAGACATGCTCTGGGACTTGGTTACCTTGATCCTGTGCCAAGGCTGTTGCATGCCACAGATAGCATTTCTGCCTGCAGATATGGCTGTCGAAAATTAGATTCCACTCACTTCATCTTCAGCAATAGCTGCTGGTTCACTTTAGCACAGAGAATATTTTGGACCCTTCTTTACTTGCTGCCTTGTGGTTGTAGCATATATTCTGAATGAGAAAATGATTCCAAGTTTTCAATTCAGAAAAAAAAATGACTAATGTCTATTCACTATGAAAACAGAAAGGGACATAAGCACTAGTTTAGTTCAGTACTATTCATTCATTGAATATTTTCTTTACTTTTTAAATAAAACTTCTTAAAACATCCTGTTTTTTATAGGTCTCAGAAAAGAATTTGGCTGTCTCCATTTCATGAATTTTTAGAATTATGACTATAATTTAACAGTCTCCTCCAAATTTTCTCATACTTCAATTGTATATTTCTTTACATAGAAAGGCAATTATTAATGGGAGGGGCTGTGAAATAGAGGTTTTCTTTATAGTGTGTTGGTGTGTGTGTATGTGTGCATTGCCTCCTTGAGAAAAGATTTGAAGATATTCTAAAAACCAAGGAAGAAAAACATTATAAGAGTACATCTCGGGCTGCGGATGTGGCTCAAGCGGTAATGCGCTCGCCTGGCATGTGCGGGGTGCTGGGTTCGATCCTCAGCACCACATAAAAATAAAATAAAGATGTTGTATCCACCGAAAACTGAAAAATAAATATTAAAAAAAAAAAGAGTACATCTCCAGGGCTGGAGATGTGGCTCAGTGGCAGAGTGCTTGCCTTGCCCATGTGAGGCACCGGGTTCCATCCACAGCACCACATAAAAATAAATAAACAAAATAAAGATATCGTGTCCATGTATAACTAGGAATAATTAGAAAGAAAGAGAAAACATCTCCAGTCTAGATTTCTCCTCAAACTTTTGACTTGTACATTCTAAGGAACCTTTCATATGCTTGAATTAGCTAGATTTCACTTGTGGATTCTGATAGTCTTACCCAAATGATTAGGATCAGGATCTTTCTCTTATTCTAATACAGCATAATATAGCCATTAAAAGGAAACATTCTGTAGAAAATCCCCAGTGTACTTCTAAATTGTAAATATCATGTTAGCAAATGGCAAAAGGCACAGGATTGGAACTGAGGTGTTTTTTGCAACTTGAAAGGATAGACCACATTGACTCAGAAGAGACCTACTTTGGATTCAGGCTTCTTTTACTTTTGGATTATGTGACTTGGAACAGTTACTATGCTGTCCATCTCTGCTTTCTCATCTGTAAAATGGAGGCCATACCCAGGCCTGCCTTCTCTTAGAATGGTTTCAAGGATCACAGATAATACAAGTAAAAATTCTGTGAATGACAAATTACTATGAAATGAAAACAATTATTTACTTATTGTAAATAACCATGATGGGAAGAATTTAAATAATATATAACTAAAGAAATCCTCTTTCATGGGTGCTATGAAATACTAAGCACATATTTTTAAAAATAAATCTAGGGTTTTTTGGTTAATGTGATTAGAAGAAAATCAGCATATTTGCAGGGCTGATCCTTTAGGCATGATTTGAGCAGCACTGAAGTTCTCTCCAAAGCATGAAATTCTTGTATTTTCATTAGTGGGACAGACAGTGCTTCTCGAAATGTGTTAAAGTATTTTCTCTGACATATTATGCAGTTGTATGCCCCCAAAAAACTTCTGAGGTCAAATACATTTGAGAAATCCTAGGTTTAGCCAAGTTAAATTAGCTTAAGACTTCTTTAAACTTTAATTGCCATTTCTTAATGCTAAGGTTATTGTTAAATCTCTAGGAGAGGGTTAATATAAGCAGTATTTCCCAAATAAATTTAACCATGTGATTATTCAACTGTTTGAATTAGAGTTCATTACACCCAACTTCAGTTCAATCTGGGCTGAACTAATTCGTATAGAGATAATTCTTCACAAAACCCAATAGCCCTTGCTAATTAGCTCTCATTGTGTGGCTTTTGAGACTAATGGGTTGATCTGGGATTCTGGAGTAGTCAGGCAGAAATTGATGGTACCTAGGAAGGACAGAAAGATGCTAGGTAGACTAAAACCAGAAAAGCAGATTTAAGTGGTAGGATGCCTGTATAAATACCAGAAATGTGCTACAGGGGATTGCTAGAAAGTTGGAGACTAGGCACTACAGACAAAAATCTGGTGTCAGAAGTGGTAGGAAGGAGCTATCTCGGACTAAGAAAAATAAGACAGCTTTTAAATAGAACCTGAAGTAAAGGAAGGTAGGGGGGAAATGCATACTGGCCTAGCATTACAAAAAATGAAAAATTATGTGACTTAATGATGTCTTTTGGAAACTATTTAGTAACTTGAGAAAATTCCCATGTTATAAAAATAAATGTTAAATGAAAAAAAGATTACAAAAGTGTATATACCACTTGACCCCCGTTAGATATAAAATTCAAGTCTACATTTGCCAATATATATATATATATATATATATATATATATATATATATATATATATTAAAAAAGAAAGACCAAAATAGTAACCATGGACGTTTTGGGTGATTTTCATTGTATTCTTGTCATCATCATGCAATAATTTTTGAAGTTTTCATTCTCATCCTCATAGATAACAGTGGTTTGTTATAACAATGATTCCTTAGGCAAAGGATCAGTGGTAATATAATCTCCCTCTCCCCAGCAGAAGAGTGAGATATGTGTTTTGAAAAGGTGTTCCTGGGGAATTCTTATTCTTATTCATGTTAATTTTATTTTGGACATACTGCCTTTAAAATTTTTATTAAAGTTTTAATTAACTTATAATTTTAAGCTTTCAAAATTTTTTTTTACAATTGAGTCTGTCAGAAGTGTTCTATTTTAGCTAGGAGACTCAGATTACATGAGGAATATTGTATCAAGAAGCAAGCAGATTTTTTTTCCCCTTAAAAAAGTGTTTACAGAAGTCCATTTGAACCAGAATAAGTAGTCTCCTTACTTAAGATGTAGATTCCTAATCCCTACAGCAGATTTACTCAGGCTTTCTAGGGATAGAACTTCTCAGGCTTAAACAAATATACCAGTCTCATGGGAATCTTGTTAAAATGAAGACTGACTCAGTAAGCCTGG